CGGTTTTCAACAAGAAGTCGAAAATATCACTTTTTACCAAAAATGACAAAAATATTCACCAAAATTAGAGAATTAAAGATATCATTACAAAATGAACAAATCTGAGAGAGGTCCACATGTAGTACCTATATATGTAATATCAAAGCAATTGCACTTGCGGTTTTCAACAAGAAGTCGAAAATATCACTTTTTACTAAAAATGACAAAAATATTCACCAAAATTAGAGAATTGAAGATATCATCATGAAATGAACAAATCTGAGAGAGGTCTACCCAAGGTACATATACACCAAGTATCAAAGCATTCAGGCTTGTAGTTTTCAAGAAGAAGTCGAAAAAGTAAAACATTGACACGGACGACGGACGACGGACGACGACGACGGACGACGACGACGGACGACGACGGACAATCACTCATATGATAAGCTCCGCTCGACAAAGTTGACAGCGGAGCTAAAAAGTAAAACATTGACAAGGACGACTGACGACGACGACGGACGTCGACGGACGCCGACGGACGTCGACGGACAATCACTCATATGATAAGCTCTGCTCAACAAAGTCGACAGCGGAGCTAAAAAGTATTGGACCCAAGATGAACCCTTGGGGAATTCCGCACTTGACCATATTGGAGAATGAAGAGGTAACATTAATATTTACGGTTGACGGTTTTCAAGAAAACTATGAAATCAAAGAAAAGGAAGACCCCTAATACCATAGTCAGTTTTTGTAAAAAAAATGTCGTGGTTGATTGTGTCAAAGGCTTTTTTTAGGTAGACAAAATACCAAAAGTAATAATCCCTTCATCCATGCTATCAGTGACTTCTGAGATTAAATCAGCAAGGGCGAGCTTTGTGCTGTACTTTTTACGAAAACCGTACTGAGTATTTAGAAGAATGTTAAATTTGTTGAGAAATGCCATAAGTTGATTTTTAACCACAGATTCAATTATTTTACTAAGCACAGGCAATACTGAGATTGATCTATAATTATTTATATCTAAAGCAGATCTTTTTTTAGTTAGGCATAATTTTAGCATATTTTAATGCATTCGAAAATTTGTCTTGGGTCAGAGAGCAGTTGACAATATTTGTGAGTGGACCAGAAATGACATTCATATCATCAATCACAAATCTTGGATGTATGTGGTCATATGTTTTATTTATTTTGATTGTGTAAATAATTTTCATAATGTTACAACTCAAATGTATTTGAATGGAATGGAACATACCTAAATTCAATGTTGCCTTGTGCCTGGGCCGGTGCTACCCATTCAACTGACAGTGAATCATGCGTCAAGGCAGATGCGTCACTGTGTGTGAAGGTATTCTGGTGAGAAAAAGAGAAATGTACAACTTTGAATCTACTTATACACCTCCCTCTGTGGCAATTAATTGAATTTCAATCTACTAATACAGCTCCCTTTATGATAATCAATGAATTTGAATCTATTTATACAGCAACATTTATAACAATGAATGAACTTGTATATACATATACAGCTCCCTCTATGGCAATGAATGAATTTGAATCTATTTATACAGCTCCCTCTATGGCAATGAATGAATTTGAATCTACTTATACACCGCCTTCTATGGCAATGAATGAATTTGAATCTACTTATACAGCTCCATCTATGGCAATGAATGAATTTGAATCTATTTATATAGCTCCCTCTATGGCAATGAATGAATTTGAATCTACTTATACAGCTCCTTCTATGGCAATGAATGAATTTGAATCTACTTATACACCGCCTTCTATGGCAATGAATGAATTTGAATCTACTTATACAGCTCCATCTATGGCAATGAATGAATTTGAATCTATTTATACAGCTTCCTCTATGGCAATGAATGAATTTGTATCTAGGCATACAGCTCCCTCTATGGCAATGAATGAATTTGAATCTACTTATACAGCTCCCTCTATGGCAATAAATGAATTTGTATCTAGGCATACAGCTCCCTCTATGGCAATGAATGAATTTGAATCTATACTTATACACCATCTATGGCAATGAATGAATTTGAATCTAGGCATACAGCTCCCTCTATGGCAATGAATCAATTT